CAATGAGAGCATGAAGGTGCTGTCTGAACTCAGGAACCACAAGTCTTATACTAGTCAGAGACACTAGGTCAGGGATCTGCAACCTTTACAATCAAAAGAGCCATTTCTGCCCCTTCGTGCACTAAATTAAATGTGTCCAGAGCTGCAAAACTTGCTACAATTGTCCTTACCAACTGGTGGCACATGAGCCACTTTAAGTTTGTTAAAGGGGGCTTTTCTGGTGAAAATATGAATCTAAAAACATCCGATGATTGTTAACATTTATTGATTTTTTTTTTTTTTTTTTTTTTTTACAATTTGAGACTTGTAAAGAAAAAATATATATGTATTGCCAATTTTTATAAAAATTAACACAATGAACTGTGCATGCTTATGTGTTTTTTTTTTTTTTAACTGTGAAGAAATTGAGTAGTCTACTTTGAAGAAATAAGGCATAAAGTTATATTACTAGTAACCACAAATTTACAAAGGAAATGACAGGAAAACTGCTAAAACAAGTCATTCTTTGTTATTTGTATAACTTCCTATAAAACTCAGTTTTATGTTAGTTTTGGTCAAAGCTTGAAAGAGCTGCTGTGGAGGGACCAAAGAGCCGCATGTGGCTCCAGAGCCGCAAGTTGCAGACCCCTGCACTAGGTGAAAAATGTAAAATGCCTACCGGTACATTTTAATGTAAAAAAAAAAAGATTTGATATCACACTCTTAGTTGAACTTAATGGTACAAATCTTCAAAACTTAAACTGGGATTGTGTAAAAACCATTAAAGACATCAAAACGCCACTTCCTTAATGTAAAGTTCTACTTCCTGTAACCCGTTAAGGCTTTAAATGAGATTTCTAATGGGACGATCACCTGAGTCATAGAGCTCTATAGAGGGCTGGGTTTTCTCACTCTTGTCATCAAAATCCCATAGTTGTGTGTGTCTTTGTTGTTTTTTTTGCAGCCTTTTACTAATTTTTGTCATCACAGTGGATTCAAAAATCATTTTCTGAACAAATCGAAGCGTTTGATTTATATTTTTAAGGTTTTTTTCAAAAGTTTTTGAACGAGTAGCGAATTGAAAACTAAAGAAAGTTAAAAATAATGGTTTAATGGTAACACGTGTGCGTCAGTGCTTATACTTTTAATTGAAATTTGCAGATGCATGTATTGTTTTCTACTCAGTCTCCTGGAGTTTCTACACAGGAGCTTTTGCTGCTCTCCGTATTTTCTTTTTTTTTGTAAGGTGAAGCTTTAAATTTTATATTAGGCGTCTTCATGAACCATGTATTGCTCTCTATATACAATTCCCTGCAACTTGTGTATTTTACAGCACTGCACAGATTATTATTATTACTGTTTAGTTGTTTTTTTAGGGTTTGTACGCCATTATAACAGAGCTGGAGTCACACCCAAACTAACTCTGCCTCGTGCATTTTTTCCTTCACTAAAACACAATTGTCTGTGTGAATGCAGCCAAACGCTTGCAACCACGCAGCACACACACCTATCTCGGAGCTGAATCTGCAGCAGGAACTGGCAGGAAGCAGTGTGGTGAATTCATTATGCAAATGATTTCTGTCAGGAGTTGTTCAGCGAGCAGCTTCAATACCACATGACCAAACTTGTGATGGGGGGGGGAACAAAAAAAAAAAGCTTTTTATTGATTGTTGTATCCTAAACACATGCGCACACACAGAAATCACGCATGCGCACAGGAAAGAGTTAGAAATAGCAACATTGTCGCACACTGCGCCTTGCCTGCAGAAACAGTTAAATATTTATTTGGAGAAAATCTTTTACGCAAAAACAATTTTTTTTTTTAAATGTCCTCTTAAAATGGATTTCAATAATCCACACACATAAAAAAAATAATCTCTAAAACATGCCATTAACTTTTAGCTAAAACTGCAGAGGAAGTAAAAATACATAAATAAAAGGTCTGTTGGATGATTTGACTCCAGCAAATGTGCAACCTTGCATACTCGTGTGCTGTTCCTGCACACCGAGACACTGATTAATTTGCTCGCTCACTTGATGTGCACAAAAGCTTTGCTGAACGCATCGGTTGGCAGAGTGTTTGAACTGGAGGAGCGGTGCGTTCGTGTGCGCGTGCGTGGGTGAGTTTCATGAATGAGTAAACAAGTCTGTCGGGGGATTTAAGGTATTTTGTTGTGTTATGTGCTTTGTCCAGCTGAAAGGCTCGTTTAAATCAATCTGCGTTCAGAAAACACTTCTGAATGTGGGCGGAGTCTCAGGAGGGAACTGTAGCTGCTGTCCTGCGAGGAGCAGCACCGAGCGGCGATTCACTCGTTGTGAAACTCTGAACGCTGATTGATGGAAATATCTCCCAGTTTTCAATCCACTCTCATAAAACTTGCCACATCAATTCCAGATAATTAATTTGCCTTTTAAAATGTTACTTCTTGTAGCAATAAAATAGCACTCTAATTGAACATTTGCTAATTTAATTTTTTTTCCCCACATTGCTTATAAAGCCACTTATCTGCTTCTATCAAACTCTGTAGTCATAGTGACATGATTTAATGAAATGTTGATAAACGTATTAGGGATGCACGATATTGGATTTTTGTCCAATATCCGATATGCCAATATGTTAAAACTTATTTGGCCGATAACCGATAACAATACCGATATTTTTTCCCTAGACCTACTTACAGAGACGACATAGCTTTCTCTGCTGTTGAATTAAAATACTACATTATTCTGCATCGTCTTTGTTAATTTGGCTGCTACCAAATGCAGATGGCAAAAAGGAGAATGCAAATGATGCAACACTTCAACTTAATGTCAAATTTATTCATGACATTTACTCTGTCTAACACAATAACACTCGAACAGCGCAAATTTGTAAATTTTCACAAATCTAAACTCAACCTGTTCACAAGTGACGTGAAAAGCGCATTAGTAGTAGGGCATTAATAGATATACTTGACAGCTTCTTAAATTAAACATTAACTTAAAACAGTGCCTTTTATATTGGTGAGTTATTTTGATGGAATGGGCGATGTCCGATATTTAAATTTATGGCTAATATCAGTCGATACCGATACCATGCCGATAATATCGTGTATCCTTATAAAATATACAAACTAAATTATGTCAAAAAGCTGCAAATTGACCGCAAAGAGATGCTAATTATTCACAACTCGATTACAAAAGAGGCGCAAAATTCCTTCAAAAATATGAAAAATGTCTAAAAACATTAAGAAAAACTCAAAATGTACAAAGTAGCATAAAAACAGCTGCAATAATCAAAATGGCACATAAAAGGACCATATTTAGAAGCACATACAAAATGAGCACAGAGAGATTCAGGAGTGACGACTGTAAAAATGTTTTCAGTTTAGTCAAATATGGATCAAATGCTGATAATAAACAACAGTGAGGTTGATAATCGTGTCCAAGTATTTAACAGAATCTCAACAATTTATTTTGATAAACCATAATCTTGAGCTTTACAAAATTTGGACTAAAAGTTCTAAAATGCACCAAGTTTCAGGAAAAAATCCTTTAAGTGAACTTACTTTCAGCAGCTGCCTTCTTCAGGGGCTGCCACAGCAAGCGAATCAAAGATATGGCAATTTGCTTTATGCCGAACGCTCAAACCCACAACCTCAGGATTACATGACCGACCGTGGCACTGACCACTGAGCTACTGCAGCCTTTGACCAGTTCCTTTAAATAAACAGCATTAAAAGGTGCAGAACGTTTTGTTTTTGAAAGCTAAACTGCAGATTAATATTAAGCTCATTGGGTTTAATACATACGCAGAAAGTTGATCTATATTATATAAAAAGAAGAAGAAACGCAAAATACAGTTAACAGCTTTTTTTTTTTTTTAAGAATTAAGCAACACCAGCGCACAAAAGCTAATCAGAAGTCGATCAGAGAGAAAACATTTCATCGCCTGTAGGAAATGTAAATTTATTTTCAGTGCCTTAAAATCAGATTATTGACTGTCGGTCAAATAATTTGTTTAATTTCAGAGTAAGATTTTAAATTGCACTTTCTAATCC